CTCTCGTCGCCCGTAAGCATACGAAAGGTTGTGGTCTTTCCGGCGCCGTTCACTCCCAACAGTCCGAAACACTCCTCCTTATGGACACCAAACGAGAGGTTATCGACGGCTGGAAATGCTTTGAATGTTTTGCACAGATTTTGCACAACAATCGCATCAGTCGTCCCTCTATTGGCGCCCACCAGACCTTTTATGCGTTTCATCTCTGCACTCACATCCGAGTCCATATCCTGGCCACCGGTGCCCACGTTTAGCACAACATTTTGCTGTCCAGTGCTGTACCCGTTGTTAACCATTTCAGTTATTTTTGAGTTTTTATTAAACATGTATTTAATTTTTTGGAAATTGCTTTCAATTAGCGATAGTATCAATAGATAGACAAATGCCGTAACAATCATATACACCAACTCCGTTACAATACCTAATTGTATATAATATGTTCAAATGGTTAGCAATATCTCAGGTTAAATTTTTAAACTAGAACATTTTTGAATAAAATATTTGTACAAGTACAATAGATTATTAGTCGATTATTTCAACTCGCTCATGTATTAATTGAAAAATACTTAATAAAATATTAATTGATATTATATTATATAAAATTAATTTATAAATAAATGTAACATAATAAATTTAACATAAAACTTATTGTACATACCGTATTTACCCCATTGGAAAGCATTGCGTTCATAATAGCACTCGTGTGTGGGTTTGCACAGATTCACACAACAGCCCCAGTAGTCGCTACTTTTATCTATGCGATAGTTACTGTTGTCGCACCGCTGAGCCAAATGCTCCCTGGTCATTTTATTACAAACATCCGCATACGAGCCCAGTTTGTACAGCTTTTGTATGCCGTGACTCATGGCATATACGGGCATAATATTGGCCACACCTTCGAGAGCGTCGGCCGCTTTCGGCTTTTGCATTGACACAAAAAATACCGTCAAAGACAGGGCTATACCGGAGAGCAGGTATACAACGACCAGAACTGCATAACCAGTTGAGGGCTGTTTGAGTCGAAGTGAGAACAGATAGGCTAACGGTATGGCCGACAGACCAAACATAAGGAATAGTAGGAATAGTCCGCCCGCGTTGCTCGCTATGAATGGTCATGGTAAATAATGTAGATTATTATTACTATTATGGTTATACTGGAATAAATTAACCAATGCTTACCATTGCCCATGAAAATTTTGTCACAATCAAAAATGGCGAATACAATGAAGAGTATAATACTGGCCAACAAATGGTTAATGATATCAAAGAGATAACTCGCCGCCCAAAACGTGTGAACAGATATGCCATTCATTAACTGTAAAAGTTTTGATTGAGTGATGCGCTCATGGATTGGGAACAACGCATACGAGGCGCCGATAAATGGCACCGTTAGGGGCACCAGCAGTAAACAGGTAACCACCATGGTCACCATAATCATACCCATGTTATTTGCACTCTGGTCCGATAGTATCGGGTGGTTGTATAGTGTGATCGATGGTTTATCATTGAATTTTTGTTTCAATAGTGTCTCGTATATCACATTGATGGACACCGGGAGAGCGTGTATGGCCTCCTTGTTATACCAGGGAATCAGTATTAGTGATGTTTTGTTGGCTTTGGTGGTAGTGTTGATCTGAGCGCCGACTAAATACGTGTTGATATATTTGGTTATATCGTCCCCTCTATTACCAGATAGTGTCCAATTGTTTGGGTTCACTGTATGTTTGTAGCAAACAATTTATATTATTATTAATAATTTTAATAATCAAATTTTAGAAAAATAATTAAACTATAAATTGTTAATTTGAACTTTTTAAAATAATTATTAATATTTATAATTCACAATTTTTTATTTATAAGTTATAAATAAGTAAAATAAATACAAACCAGTGATCACTTGTGTCTTCATATCTTCATTGGCCGACACTTTAATATACTTATCGTTAAAGTCTTTGAGGTCTGACTGAACGAAACCCTCGGTCGGGCCGTACATTGTCTTCAAATTTAACTCAAGAGATACCGTTGAGGTCTCTGTTGTCGCCCTTTTCAACGACTGATCCAACAATAGGATACACATGAATAGTATGGCCGGAAGTACTGTCTGGAGGACAATCATTGGCCAATACCTCTTCGCGTAGTGGAAACGCTTCATGAAAAGCGCCCAAAACTGTTGCGCCATAAGTTTATTACCAGTATTTTTGGTGATATTATGCGACAATAGATCCGTACCTTGCGGTGAATTAGTGGCCGCTTTAGACAACTCATCGGCCGAAGAGTTATCCATATATTCATTGCCCACTCGGAGAAAGACGTCCTCCATTGTGGTCACCGTTAGCCCAAAGGTTTCAATATTGAGCTCTTGTTTGTTGCTCTCCAAGTGGGCGAAGAGTTGGATCAGTTGACGACTTGTCGTACTTTCATTATTATTCCTCTCGAGTTCGTCGCTGTTTTCCAACGAGTATATGATCTCTGAGTTGATCTCACTTTTGATCTCTGCGTTTGGCATTGTTTTGCGTACAATATTGAGCACCGATTGGCTGTTAAACTCCCGGTTCTTAGCGATCCGGAGGTGATATCCGGCGCCGAATGCTTTCTTCAGAAACATAGGACTTCCACAGCATTTGATGTGTCCCTCACTCATGATTACGATCCGATCGCCCAAAGCCTGGGATCAGGACAGGGATGGGAAAAGTATATTCATTATCGTAAACATAACAATAAGGTAATAATAATTATGACTCACATCCGCCTCTTCCATGTAATGAGTGGTCAATAATATAGTTCTTTCGGATCTGATATTCTGTAAGACATCCCACATATGTCTTCGCGCCTCCGGATCCATACCAGAGGTCGGCTCATCCAGTATTAGGATCTCAGTGTTGCCTATCATTGCTATACCGAGTGATAGCTTGCGTTTCATACCTCCGGACAGATCTGTAGACATAGTGTTTGCCTTATCTGTCAAATCAACCAAAGCTGCCATTTTCTGAACCTCTTTGTCCACATCAGCCCAGGGATGGCCTTTCAGTATAGCGTATAGTTTTAAGTGTTGGCTCACATCCAACTCACTGTACAAAATGTTTTCCTATAGAAATAACATTAAAGTAAAAATTAAATACAAAACCTATAACAAAATATACTGTTTTTTATTACCTGTGGACACAAACCCAGGCTTTTGCGAGCCCTACGAGTCTGTTGTCTGATATCATAGCCACCGATATATGCTGTGCCCGAAGTGGGCGGGAATATACCGGTAATCATATTCATTGTAGTGGTCTTTCCGGCGCCGTTATGGCCCAACAGTACAGTTATTTGTCCGCCATATATGTTGAGAGACATATCGCCGACAGCCGTCTTATTGCCAAACATTTTATGCAATTTCTCACACTTTATGCCAACCCTTGTGTTCAACGGCTCTCTTTCAAAGTGGGCTAAATTTCTGCCAGTTTTCGCATCAATTGTGTCGTTAGTATCAGTTGTTTTACCCCGATTTGGGAACCAATATGATAGTAAAAATGGATAGTACACAGGCTTAGGTATACCAAACTGCCATGGCCATACATTGTCCACGTACCATATTAGCAAGACTATTTGCCATTTGTAATAAATTATTATACAAATACAATTATATAAAAATACAAATTAATGGTTATTTGTTTATACATACCGTAGTAAAATATGGACATCAATTGCAACAATAACACTAATCCGCCTGTAAAATGACCATATCGTGGCACATTTGACCACAAATTTGGCCATGTTAACCCATAACCATACGTCTCGCATTGGCCCATAACTGTGAACATCCATTGCATGGCTGAGTTGGGCTGAAAACAGGAGAGTATACGCGAATTGGTGGTGCCCTCGACATCCATATCCTGGTTATACATTGTACTCAACGCTCCCATCGGCACCGCATGCGAGACCTCAAACCATATAACACTGACCACTACACCGATCACCGGGCGATTGAACATGGTGGTTATAAGCATAGAATTTAATATTGTGTTTATATTAAACAGCACCAGGGCGATTAACAGCACAAACGCGTTGCTATAGACAACAAATGGTAGTCCACCAAAACCCACGCACAAAAATACTACGATTAATACCGATTGTATAAACATTATGATAAAATAGTTGATGAAATGCGAGCCCCAAAACACCCAATCACTCAAACCCATCATTTTGAGCATTTCCTTAGCTTTGGCCGCCTTTTCATCGCAAATACGTTTCACAATCAATGGACACATTATTATATAACTCGTGATGACTAACATTCCCAGCACTTCCAACATGTTCATACTTCCTATATTTAAAAGAGTTTAATGTAATTTAGTTCATAATTAATTCTATATAATTTTAAATATATATAAACTAGTTACAGTATATTTAAAATTTGTAAACTGGATCCAAAAAAATAATTACATATAAGCATAATGATTAAATTATATTATGCATAAACATTAAAGTATGCACAATTTAATTACCAACATTATTTTAAAAAATTCAATTAACAATAATTACCAACTGATGAGCTCTTAAGATACCGGGGATAAGGTATGGCACGGGTCTCCACAGCGGCCACATCTGAAGGCAGTTCATGCCGTTTGACCCAATACTCCAGATAATCGATGTACAGCTCATACACAGCCAACTGAATGCGGACAAAGTCCATGCGCTCATAATTCTGACCATTATCATAATACGAGGGCCCATTCTGGCGATCAGGGTGCTTTTTCTTCACCAACTGCGCCCAATACCTGCCTT